TAGTTTAGGATATTCATGCGTTAAGGAAATTTCTAAATTTAAACAATTGGAAGAATTGAAATTATGTAATAATGATCTCAATCAAGAATCCATGGAAATTATTTCCAATCCTTCACAAAATTGAAAGTTTTAGATTTGAGTGATAATCCAATTATGGAAGGTGCTTCGCATCTTCAAAATTTACCAAATTCCAATTTAATTCATTTAGATCTATCGCTTTGTAAACTTCCAATCAAATGTATTGTTGATTTATCAATGAGTGATTCTATATTGAATGTAAAGAAGCTATATTTGGGATTTAATCAAATTGGAGATGAAGGTGTCATGTTAATTTCGTCTAGTCTTTACAATCTCACTCATTTGTTTCTTCCATTTTCGAATATTACATCAAGAGGTGTAAAATATTTATGTGATGGAGTGTTGGATAGAATTGAATTGTTGGATTTGGCAAATAACATAATAGGAAATGAAGGATTGACCTACATTTCACAATGTAATAATTTTTCCTATTTGGAATATCTATATTTGGATATTAATATTTTAATAAGTGATTTGAGTGAATTATTGTTTGTGAATGGAAATTTACAAAATTTAAAACATATTTCAGCTAGAAAATGTATGATTGTTAAATTAATTGAGAAATCTGATGAAAATATTTCTTTACCATTATTGGAATTTCTAGATATTTCAAAGAATAAGTTTGAGAAGAGTGAAGTTTCTAAACTAATGAAGAAAACTTCAATTCTGACACAAATAAGACATGACTTTGAGCTTTAACTTTTTATCACATTTTATTAAATCGGAGATCAATCACTTCTTTTTATCTTGTTTTTTTTCTTCTTTTGCATTAGAGCTCTTGTTCTTAGTATCCCTTTCCAATTCCTTGTACTCTTCCTCTAGCTTTGCCATAATTTCTCTGTCATTACAAAATTTGCTCATTTTGTATTAAGGTTTTTGCAGATATATGTTCTCGATCTTAATATTTTTTTTAATATTATTTCGCATTGCACTGCAAGCCAATAAACTTATTCATCATGTGGATTTTATAAAGATTTATCATTGCTTTCTGTTATTTTTGTGATAATTATTGCTCAGCTCAAATCATTCAAGGCTAATCCGAATGACAAGATGGAAATAATCCTTATGGCGATCAACCAGAATCTGTCTATCCTGATATCTGCTCAAATTTAATTCTTCATGATTAAATGCAATATCTTTTCACAAGGGATGAATCAATTTCAATCTTGGAGAGGCAAATTTGAGTGCCATTCCACTATTCTTACATGCCGTCATGATTACTTCAAAATCATCACACAGTGGAGGGTCTGCATATTGTAATGTGTATGGATAATGTTTCACAGCATGAAGTAGCAACTCTCTGTCTGTAATTGCACTTGGATATTTGTTGAAAAAGTCGGCATTCTTTTCAACAGATGACCAAATCAATTCCTTGTCGGCTCTTAGACTTTCTGGAATGACATCCAGGTGATCGGTTCCATATTTTTTAACAATCATCATAATTAGCTCTCTATCATTTCTAAAGGATGAATCAAGGAACTTGAATAGGCATGGATTATTCTCCACAATTTCAAAAATTAAATTTCTATCCAATTTCAACTCTGGAGTTAAAAACTTGTAGGCATTTGGTGAATAGTTAAGAACCTTTTTTAGGAAATCCAAGTCCTTGACTAATTCAGGGTTCAGAAACTTTGTTCCTTCATTTGGTTTGTATTTTATGTATGCCAATAATACTTCCTTGTCGTTTCTGATATGTTTAGGCAATTTCTTATATTCTATAGCATTAAAAACTTGCATGACAACTTCTTTATCATTCCACAAATCCTCAGAGAGTTCATAAATAGAAACTTCAAATTCTGGTACCATTTTAAGTATTAATGATCTATTACTGGATATTCTTCTTTCTATTTCATCAAAGACATGTCTTGGGTGCGATGATAAGTGAGCTCTTATTACTTCTTCATCATCCCACAGTTGATGATCTGTAACTTGGCTTAGAATAAAATCATGATCTGATGAATCTGAAACCCGTAGACAACTCAGCAAAATTTCTCTATCATTGAAGCATGATTTTTCTAAATAATAAATAGATGACCCATTTCTGGCTATGAGTGTTTTAGCTACCTGTTTGTAGTGTGGATATTCTAGTGGAAGACAAGATAAAGATAAGTTTTTTTCCATGGCAACTTGAACTAGTTCATCAAAAAATGGCAGGTCAACTGGAACATATTTAAGATGATTACTATTTCCAGAGATTGCTTTCAATANAATATCATAATCCAGGGCATGTTTGGTATTTTTGATATGACCATAATCTGAAGGATGGTTCTCCAACACGATCAAT